TTCAAAATCTCCCCTCCCCCCACCGCATCCCAAAACCAGTCCAGCTCATCCCTGCCTCCCTAACCTGTTCTTCCTCCCACCTATCCCCTCCTCCCACCTCAAGCCGCACCTCCATCTCCTACCGACCAACCTCATCCCGCCCCCTTGACCTGTCCGTCCTCCCTGGACTGACCTATCCCCTTCCTAACTTCCTACCTACACTCACCTTTCCTGGCCCCATCCCCGCCTCTTCGACCTGTTTGTTTCCTCTCCACCTATCCTCTCCTCTATCCCTCTTCTATCCGCCTCCCACTCTCTCCCTATTTATTTCAAAACCCCCTTCCCCTCCCCTTTTTCTGATGAAGGGTCTAGGCCCGAAACGTCAGCCTCTCTGCTCCTATGATGCTGCTTGGCCTGCTGTGTTCATCCAGCCCTGCACCTTGTTGTCCATGATTCCTCATTCAACTTCGAAGTATACAGCAAAGTGTTAGGGGCAGAGGTGGGGGGGCTCTGTCACTGTCTGTCTGCCGCAAGTTCTCCCCATGTCTGCGTAGGTTTCCTCCCACACTCCAAAGATGTGCTGGTTAGGTGGATTGGCCTTGGGAAATGTGGATTATGAGGTTAGTGTGGGGGTCTGTATCTGGGTCTGGTTGGAATGCTGTTTGGTTGATAGGTCAGTGCAGACTTGATGGGTTGAATGACCTTTATCTGCACTGTAGTGATTCTATGAACACTCAAAAGGCAACTATATTTAAGAATCAAATCTTAGCAGGTCAGGACTTGAAGCAGCATGCAAATAACTTCAAGGAGTGATTCCAAACTGCTGAGTTTTCACCGCTCTTAACCCTGCCAAGTAAATATTATTTGTAGAGCTAATAGATATGCTTCTCTCTGGATTTGCATGAATGTTAAAGACACATCCTCAATATTGGTGTTGAGATGAGGATGTGCACCGCTTTGCATGTCCGTTTGTGTTTCACTGAAACAGTTACTTTGGCTCCTCGTTCAGGTCTTTATTAGAAAAAGGAGTATTGCTTTCCCTTACCGGGTACCTATCCAGTTGTAGACAAATTGTACGTGGCCCATGAATCAAATCATTAACTCATCATGAAATATACATATCAAATGTGCAACCACCCAGTGTATATTGTTTCTAACCTTTTAGAAACAAATGAAGATCATACCTATGAGCTTAGTTATTGGAATGAAGAGTGTCAAAGGTTTTAGATAAAATCTATGCCCTTTGCTTTTCACGGCCGTGTACATTTTAGCTTAGTAGTCATGTGGAAGAGCAATTTGCAGCAATGACCTACAAATCATTGTGATGCAAAATCATAATTGTAGGAGGCATGATGCAAGAATAAGCTCATTTTACTAGGATCCAGTTTATAGTGCAGAAGACATTTTGCATATAATGCATGTAATTTTAACAATGTTGACAAAAGAAGGAACTTCAGGTCCTCAATTGTTGTTGGAAGGCTAAATTGTATTGCCAAAGTAGCTTAACAGGTTCTGATGCAATAATTTTATTGTAAAATTAATTTTTTTGCATTTTCATATTTTCAGGTGACATATTTTATGAAAATTTTGGGCCAGATTTTCGAGAAGGAGAAGGTTTCTTCTCTGTCTTTGCTATTTTCTTTCCAGCTGCTACTGGTATCCTCGCTGGGGCAAACATCTCTGGTGATCTTGCAGTAAGTGTTTGCTTATGTACAAAAAAGGATGAATCTTGAAAATCTGCAGTGTCCGCAGCTAGAACCCTTCCAACTAATTATTCTGTTAAGAGCTTGGACAGAGCCCTTTATATGTTTGTTCATTGAATCATAGAATCCCTACAGTGTGGAAACAGGCTATTTGGCTCAAGAAGTCCACACACACTGTCCGAAGACCATCCCACACAGATATTCCCCCCCCCCCCCCCCCCCCCCCATCCCAAAATCACTGTAACCTGGCATTTCCCATGGCTAATCCACCTGACCTACACATCCCTGGACACAATGGGTATTTTAGGCTGGCCAATTCACCCTAACCTGCACATCTTTGGACTGTGGGAGGAAACCAGAGCACCCGGAGGAACCCCACACAGACACTGGGAGAATGTGCAAACTCCACACACAGTCACCCGAGGGTGGAATTGAACCTGAGTCCCCAGTGTAGCGAGACAGCCGTACTGCCCCAAAATAAGAAGGGACAGAAAGGAACACTATGCATTGACCGGGAATTGAACCGGGATCTCCCGCATGGCAAGCAAGAATGTGAGAACTGTACCACCAATGCAAATACCTTGTCATTGGCAGAAGTTAGTATTGTATGAAAAGTGTGCTAGTTTTTTTTTTTAGGAAATGACATTATGAAATTAGGATTATTAGAAATTAAGTTCTGCACCATAGTCTGCAGATAAGCCTGTATTTCTAATAGGCAGCATTCTTCTAAGTTCTAGTAAAACCCGTTGGTCTGTAGCTGTCCTTGAACATGTATTGGTAAATTTCTTGTGTATTTTTCTATGTCACTCACCACTTCTGATTCATCTGTAGAGTTGCAATGTTTCTATAGACCTCTCCAAAAGCGACTTCCTTGGTCTAAACTTTCTGAAAGCTACACGTTGGTCCACAATATTTGGCTCTGTCAATTTTTAGCCTGATTGATTGATTGAGAAAAGTGTCTTCAATTTTTTGAGGTTCAATTTAAGTGCAAACCTTAAGCTAGTGAAGCCCGAATTGGTGAGGCAGAACTCCCTGTTCTAGATCAGGTGACCATGTCCATCTTTGCCAGAATTCTCTTCTGAACACATCAAATTAGGTTTTGTTCTGGTGCAGTAATGAAACAGCCCTAATCAAGGTTCCAAGTGACGTACTTTATGACTATGACTATGACTATGACTATGACTATGACTCTGCCAATGGTAAACCATACTTCTGTGCATTTCTACAGGATTTGAAATGGTTGATCACACCATGCTCCTGCAATGCCTCATTTTTGTTATCTATCCTCTGGCTGGCTTGATTTGCTATCAGTTTAGTTTTAGTCAGTGTTCCCTATCTTGGGGCTTCTTTTCCTGCATTCTCTCCATTACATCTGTCCCCTGAAAAAAACCTATCCTCCCGCTGCTTCATATTTCTCACCAACCTGACACACACTCCCACAGAAGCATCCGATTCCACATGTCTGCTGATGACACTCAGCTCTACTCCACAACCATACCCCTCAGCCCTTTGTGTTGCCTCTGATTTCGTTGTGCTACTAAATTGCTATCCAGTCCTAGGTGAGCAGAAATTTCTCCCAGTTAAATATAATGAAAAACAATTGCCAATTCTATTCTGGAGTTACTGACTCCATCCCTTGGGCAGGCAGCAGTCTGAACTTGATCCTGACTCTGCTCACAACCATGCTGACTGTTAGTTTGACTCTGTCCTCCCCATCATGGAAAGTACCCATTTTCACCTTTCAAATTGCCAGAGTTTACTGTTGCCTCAATCCATCCGTAAGTTTGCTTTGAGCTGTGACTGTTCCATTGCTTTTCTGGCCTGCCTCCCTGCAATCTCACTTCCCAACCTTCAGGTTGTTCAAACATATTATTCATTTCCAACTCCTGTTTTACTCACTCATTTGTCCCTGTCCTTGTTAATCCATACTGGTTCCTGCTTTGTCAATATCTTTTTGTTTGTTTTTCAAATTCTCAACCCTGTGTTTAAATCTCTTTCATGGTCTCGTTACTTACCCATCTTTGCAACCTTATCCAGCTTTACAACCTTCCTTGGGATCTCTGTTCTCTTCCGATTCTAGTAACATCTGTGTTCTTAATTTTTTTTTCACTTCTCGCATTAATCGTGTATGTTCAGTTGCCTTGATTCTACCTTTTGGAGTTCTGCTGTGATACCTTTGTATTTCTTGTGCTTCTGTTTATTACTTTTAAAAACATATATTTTCTTTACCTGACCCAATACATCTGAGTTGGTGCCATTTTTCCTGATAATACTTGTGTGAAGTCCCTTGTAAAAAATTTGATTTTGATCTAAGCAAATGGTCTATTTTGGTACATTTTTTAAAACAATTAACATTAGCTTATGTCCAATCTACTGATACTTTTATCATTGTTCATTGACTAATTCATATGATGCCTTGCAGCTGTCCTCTATCAAAGTATGCTAGGATTTTGCCATGGATCACTCAATTGGTCTGCTTTCCTGAAAGGGTGATCCCTAATTTTTAAAATAGTGCCCCCTAGTCTGGACTGACCCACTGGAGGAAACATGTTTTCCACTCTTCCTTGTTGTGATTGTAAGGATCTTATGCACATCAATCTCTTAACCTCTTGCTCCTCAAAATTCCAGAGAAACCAAGCACAATCTGTCCGACCTTACTCAGAAGCTAACCGGCTCATTCCAAGTACCAATCTAATAAACCACCTCCGAACCATCTCCAGTGCATTAGAATCCTTCCACTGCATGCAGAATTTGAAATGTGGCCTCAGTAATGTCCTGTACAATTGAAACATAACATCCTTTTTATATTCAATTCCTCCCGTGATAAATGATAGCACCCCATCTAATGCCTTCATTATGTGCAATACCTATGACTCATGTACTGAACATCTAAATCTTTCTGCGTCTCAGAATTCTGTACTCATTGTCAATTTAAGTAATATTCTTTTGCCTCTTCTTTCCAAATTGAACAACTTCACATTTTCTCTCATTCTATTTGTCAGATTTTTGCCTGCTTACTCGACCTATTTGTGTCTTTTACGCAACATAATTTTCCTGTCTATTCTCTGGTGTTGTCTGTGAACTTAGCTGTAATGCTTTTGTTCCCATCGTTGACATTTGCATCAATGACTTCAATAATTGAGACAAAAACAGGAATTACTAGAGAAACTGGGCAGGTCTGGCAGCTTCTGTAGAGAAAAATTCCCTTCTGAAGACTGGTCATTGGACTCGCAACATTAACTTTGCTTACACTCCCCAGATGCTGCCAGAGGTCCAGAGTTTCTCCAGAAATTTCCTGTTTTTGTTTGACTTCCAGCATCTGCAGTTCTTTTTGTTTAATTAATGATTGAGTCCTCAGCACAGATGCTCACAGGACTCCATTCATTGTATCCTGCCCTATATGCTTTTATGTTCCATATTAATATTCCTTATCAACTACCTTCTTGAAAATACAATCATAGGGTGTCTGCAATCTCACCTTTATCCAGAACACATTTCCCTTTACAAAGAAGCCAGGTGGGACTAGCTTAATTTGGGAATCTTGGTCAGCGTGGAAGAGTTGGGCTGAAAGGTCTATTTCTGTGCTGTATGACTCTGACTGTATAAACTCTTGCCAGTTGTTTTCGCATTCTTAGCAAGCTCCATCTCACAATCTCTGAGCTTCTTTCTCCTGATTTAATCTTTTACTCATTCTCTGGCATTCTTTATATCCTGACCAATCATTGTCCTCTCACCTTTGTAGTTATTTCCCTCAACCCTGATAATTTAGTTAACCAGTGATGATGGGTCCTCACTTCTTAGAAATTTTATTCGTAGTAGGGTTATATTCTATTGATTTAATGATGTGGAGGCGCCAGTGTTGGACTAGGGTGGATGAAGTCATAAGTCACATAACACCAGGTTATATTCCAACAGGTTTATTTGAAATTACAAGCTTTTGGGGCCTCAGTCCTCCTTCAGGACTGAGGCTCTGAAAGCTTCTATTTTCAAATAATCCTGTTGGAATATAACCTGGTATTGTGTTATTTCTGACTCTATTGATCTACACTACTGCCAATTCATTTGGTTAGCTCAGCTTTCATGACAACATGGTTGCTGTTACTTGGGTTTAAAATTCTGATCTGTCCTAAATGTTTCCCCTTTTAAAATCCAATTTTTTTTTTAAACTCTGGGGTTATTTGTTAATCCTGCCACATTACACGAAACCAAGTCTTGTGTAACCTGCCTTTTGATCAGTTCCCGAATATGCTATTCTAAGAAACCATCTCCAAAGCATTCTATGAATTCCCCAAGCAAGTTACTACTGCCAAACTGTTTCTCAGTTTATCTGTAAGGTCACCCATGATTATTAATGTCCCTGTTATCTCAAGCACCCAAACTTCTTGTACGTTTTGTCCCATATTGTGACAGCCTGTAGATCAGACCCAGTAATTACTACTTTTCCCCTTTTGTTGTTTTCCACTCAAGCTAATTCTACATCCTGATCTCCTGAAGCAAAGCCACCTGTAACTATTGCCCACAAGTGCTATCTTTGATACACCTTATCTAAGGCGCTGTCAATATTGACAGATATTACATCAAAACAATGATCTAGTAGCTCCAATGGTTATGGAGTAATGCCCATGTTAGTACCAGACAAGTCAGATCCCCAACCTGAGCATGGCTGAATAAATCATTATTCTTTATGTACAAGTTACCAAAGTGGTCTTTACTAAAACATGATACAATGTTAGTCTTTTTTTCAATAATAAAACAAATTTTTACTAACAACCAAAATGAACATAAACTAGAAAAAACACTATATTCCCTTAAAGTGGACTCAAAAATTGTTCTAAAAACACAGTAGAAATAACCCAAGCATTCTTTTATGGATTGAACAATAACAGCAGTTTACAACATTATCATGATTCTCAGAATATCACTACCTATAGTAAGATTCAGTCTGTCTCTTGGAAATGAGCCAGACACACTTTTTTTTTCAATACTATGAGCTTGAAGCAATTACAATTTCAACTCCTTGACTGGAATTGTGGATAATTTATTATTAATATTATTCTCCTGACGACTTTTTTCTGGTGCTGTCAATCCTTGCTGCAGCTTTAATTCCTTTCCTCCTTTTTTATATAAACTTTAAAAATTTCCTTTCCATTGACTGACTGTGTTTACCAGCACACTGGTTTGGTACTAATAATAGTTTCCTATTCCTTTTTACTGTTGTGAAAGAAATGGAAGCTAGAAAACTCAAGGAAATATGTGATGCTTTGAAAAAGTTCACATTAGAGGGGCAAATGCAAGAGGTTTTAGAAAATGCAAAGGTGGATAAATCTCCAGAACCTGATCAAGTATATCCCAGGATGTTGTGGGAAGTTGGGGAAGAAATTGCTGGGGCCCCTAGCAAAAATATTTATATTATCTATAAACATGGGTGAATGACCGGAGAGGGCTAATGTTGTGCTTCTATTTAAGAAAAGGCTGTAAAGAGAAGCCTGGGAACTTAGACCTGTGAGTCTGACATCGGTGGTGGGCAAGTTGGTGATTCTGAGACACAGGATTTACATGCATTTGAAGAGGCAAGGACTGATTCAGGATAGTCAGTATGGCTTTGTGTGTGAGAAATTGTGTGTCTCAAACTTGATTGGTTACTTCACTTTTTAAAAAAAAACTCAAAGGTTGAGGGCAGAGTGGTAGACGTTGTTTATTCAGATTTTAGTAAAGCCTTTAATAAGGTTCCAAGTGGTAGACTAATTAGTAAAGTCAGATCACATGGGATTCAGGGTGAGCCTGCCAACTGGATACAAAATTGGTTTCCCAAAGACGGAAGGTGATGATGGAGGAGGGTTGTTTTTTTTTTGGACTAGAAGCCTGTGACCAGTGGTGTTCTGCAGGGATTGGTGCTGGCTCCACTTCTGTTTTTCATCTACATAAAATGATTTGGATGAGAAAATAGGAGGCATGGTTAGTAAGTTTATGGATGACACCAAAATTGGTGGCATGGTGGACAGTGAAGAAGCTTCCCAAAAATTACAAAGGGATCTTGCTCAATTGGGTCAATGGGCTGAGGAGTGGCAGATGAAGTTTAATTTGGATAAATGTGAGGTGTTGCATTTTTGTAAACAAACAAGGGAAGGACTCGTACAATTTAATGGTAGGCCATTTGGTAGTGTTGTAGAACAGACACCGAGGCATTCAGGTACATAATACTGTGACATTTGTGTCACACTTAGACATTATTGATAAGGCAGTGTTTGGCATGCCTGCCTACATTGCTCAGACCAATGAGTATAGGAGTTGGGACTTATGTTGAGGTTGTATGATACTTTGGTGAGGCTTCTTCTGGAGTAGTATGGCCAGTTCTGGCCTCCCTGTTATAGGAATGATATAATTAAACTGGAGACGGTTCAGAAAAGATTTACCAGGATGTTACTGGGAATGGAGGGTTTGAGATATAAAAGTAGACTGGAAAGACTAGGATCTTTCTCACCAGAGCGTATGAGGTTGAGGGGTGATCTTCTAGAGGTTTATAAAATCCTAAGGGGCATAGATAGGGAAAAGACCCTTGTCATTCACCTTTATGGTCGGGGAATTCAAAACTAGGGGTGTATTTTTAAGGCAAGAGGAAAATGGCTTAAAATTGATGTGAGGGATGAACGCCTTTTTTTGGAGTGGTTAGTGTGTGGAATGTAGTGCCAGAGGAAGTCGTGGATGCAGGCACAGTTACAATGTTTGAGAGACATTTGGATAATTTCATGAATAGGGAAGGTTTGGAGGGATATGGGCCAAATGTAGGCAAGTGGGACTAATTTAATTTGGTAACATGGTCAGCGTGGACTCTCTGACTCTATTCTATATGGTTTCATTACGTAAAACTCCTTTTCTTAGCATTGCATAGCATGTTACTTCCATCGAAAGACTTCCCAGCATCTATTGAGTGATTTCACAGCACTGACTGAAAATGAAAGTCAAGATTTTGAAAGTTCCCTCCATTAATGGCTTTAATTAGAACCCTAGGAACTTCAACTCATTTAGAATTATGGGTATTGTAGTTTATAAATGTTAATTGTTCACTCCAAACACAGACCAAGCTATGTGTTTTACTTTGAATTCCAAGAACACAAACATGCAGTGAACAATATTTACTGTATGGAATTCTGTTTTTTCCACAGTATTCAAGAACCAGTTCTTGTCATCTTGCAGCATGCCTCTGTAATAGCTGCTCATATTTATTTACTGTGACTTATACTATCAATTCATTTACTTTGCTATGAATGCTATGCATATTCAAATGTTTTTAAACATTTTATCTTTGTATTATCTAATCTTGACTATTGGTGTATTCCTAGGTTTGTTTTCTCTCTGCCCCTTCATGCCATTGGGACTCTCATTTCTAACACTAATTTTCTTCTGTCTCTGCTTTGAGATTTCACCCCTTGCCCCCAACTATTTAGTTTAAACACTCTCCACTCCACTTCCCTAGATATTTAGCTCATTAGAGTACTAACCCCATCAAGGTTCATGTGCAGACCGCCCTCAACTGGAGAGATACCACTTTCCCCAGTCCTGTTACCAATGGCCCACAGACTGGACCCCCTCTCTCCCAAAGCAATGTACTGTTTTGTTCCTTTGGGAGGAAGTATAAAAGAAACTTTTTTTTTCAAGTAGTTTTAATCTGTTTGCAAATTTTAATATTCCCAAACCCTCTTTGATCATCTCTTGTACTATTGAGAGACTTTTTTATTGTCATACTATTTACTTTTACAGTTATTGATTGATTTTCTAGGATGCTTTGGTTTCCTGTTTTTGCATGATCGTATTTATCCTAGTGAGATTTGTTTCTACTTTCTTCCTGCATCTTGTGTATATTATTTTTTCTTTTTGTTAATCCAGCTAATTTCATTTTTTTAAATTGAGTGTTCTGATCTTGGCTATGTTGTTCTTGCATGTCCGGTACTTATAACTTTCTTTTATCTTCAATGGAAGTTTTGTTAAGGATCTTAATCCATTTCTTTTGATGTTTCCTTCCTGTCTTAGTTTAGCTTTTAAAATTTAGAAGTGATCCTCATCCTTGTGGCTCTAATTCAGTTCCAGATCATATGAATCTTGATGTAGCACTAGTTATTGTCTGCTAGAAAAGAATAATTACAACCTATGATTTCCATTAGGTACTCGGCTATGAAGCTGTTTTTTTTTTGCGGTAAATTTTACCAATTCGGTTTCTAGTTTTGAATTTGCTTACCTTAGGCGGTGTGTGATTTCAATCATTCATTAATATAACCTTTCCTATTCTTTCTCACCACTCTCAGTAGAATAAATGTTGCCATAAATTCATGTACAGGATGTTTAGTACTAGGGAGAACAAGAATAAAGTAAACTCAGGGAGAAATACACTTATTTTAAAATTTCTTTTTAAAGGATCCACAATCAGCCATACCTAAAGGCACACTTTTGGCCATTTTAATCACAACGATAGTGTATGCAGGAGCTGCCGTTGCTGCAGGTAAGGGCCTCGCTCTTTTTTGTTTATTGAACATACTTTTAAAAATTAATGATGTAATATTTGGACTTTTTTCTGTTTTTAATCACTTTCATTTTTACAATTTGCTTGTGTTTTATAACTAAATCCCATTCAAGGCAGATTGCAGAGCAGCTATTAAAACTTCCTGCTCCTCTGATGCTGCTTGGCTTGCTGTGTTCATCCAGCTCCACACCTTGTTACCGTGAATAGTGAGATTTCTAATAGGTCACCTTTTTGAATCATCTAGTTATGATGTATCTGTATTTAGTCAGTTTGTGTTTTGTAATGGTTGGCTCATTATAGGGGAGAAAAATATATATCTTTAAGTTGCAGCAACAGCTTTTAATTGATTACCAAAACGTAGGTTTTATTTTACCTAGATGAGTACATTGAGTTTTTAATGTGAAATTTGTTTAACTCTGCATATTTTCCGTGACCCATAAGTTGTTACTGAAATTTAGTTAACTGCAGACGTTTTGTTAAAAAAAAGTTGAGTTTTTAGCTATTTGCTTTGTATGCTGATATGCATTTTCTTCCATGTGAAGCACTTGCCTTTTTATATACTGTGTGATCTATGCAAGGCAATAAACAATCTGTGTGTAGGAGTTACAAATGAACTTTTTGAAGTGAAAGATGGCTAATGTTTATCAGTTTGACCTATTCCCAGGACCTTCTCTTTTTCTAGAATTTTTAAACTTTTTGGTCTCGCTGGGGAATTAATACATCCATCACTTGAAAAGCCTCGAACATTCTGTTGAGTTGATAATTAACTTGTGTAACTCTTCACGTTATTGGAGCCTGTTAATGAGTGTGAATATGAAACTTTAAATGGAGGCTCAGAATATTGGTCAGGAGATTGTCGTCATATGGTGTTGCAGACAATAAAACATTTATACAATAGCCAAAATTTAATGCCTTAGAAAAGATGTTCCACATGGCGATTTATGTATAAAACAGCATTATGTGAAATAACTAGAGAAGTGAGTGGTTCTCACCATTCTCCTGGGACAGTTGACTTAATATGAAAGTGCAGTTGTTTAATAGCTGCCTTCATAGGGGAGGATTGACCACTTGTTCAGATCTGACACGTTTTTGATACACATGGGTTTTTTTCCTGCAGCATTAAAAAGCTGTGGGATCTGGAATGCCGAATGTTCTTGCAGGTCTATTTTGAGAGTGCTAAAACATTGATTTATAGTGGAGGTTGTCTTGGCTGGCAAGGCTCAAAATGAATCAGGCAGTTTCTCAAACAGCAAATCTTCAAAATAATATACTGAGGAGTCTTAATATCCAAATGAGATTTTCTTTTCCTTTAATTGTATAAAACTATTCAACTTTTGTCTCCTGGATTTGTTAGAACGATGCTTTGCTTTGCAATGCTTGGTGAGAGTTAATCAAAAGAATTACAAATTCTTATTTTTTACTACAAGGTGTCTATGATAAATCACATCACTGTTAAAAGTTAGTGATCACACTTTCTTTGTAACAAGAAAGAAAACAGGGTTTAATAACTCAGTTATTTTAAATGGTGCTAGTGAGGTTTTTAAAGCATTTGTCATGAGTGACATTCAACTGATTAAATTCATTTAACTTTGTACTTTTTTCGGTAACTCTTTAAACTGGATTACTTCAAAAAAGAATTAATTCAGGACTTCTTTCTTTTGAGACAGACTTCAAGTAATCATAGTTTGCTGGCTACATTTGTTTATCAATATCGCAAACTTGAAATTCCTACACCAAGAGGACTGAAGAAAAGTTTGCCGTGGCTCCTGTTTATTTTTGAGCGTTCACTATTGTAATTTTATAGATCTAACAGGGATATGATGAAATGAGGACTTGGAGGTAACTCTGTGCCAAACGTTAGCCAACATGTAATTCATTTTCTGATTTTATTCCCTGTCAGGTTCCTGTGTAGTTCGTGATGCGACTGGAAATCTTACTGATGCTATTGTCCCTGGAACAGTGATTAACTGCACTAATGCAGCTTGTAAACTGGGCTTTAATTTCTCTTCCTGTGCAACAAGCAAATGCTCGTATGGTCTAATGCATAACTTTCAGGTGAGAAACATCTGGGACTAATCTGGAGTCCCTTTCCACAAAGTGTAATATTCTGGTTAATATGTCAGGAAATTGTATCAGATTTTAACAAGTATTTATAGACTTTGTTATTTCATATTGTTCTGATGGTGAATAATAATCCATTGAGTTTTGTTGCTCCTAATACCTCTGCAATTAGATGCTATGTCAGAATAGTATTGGAAGACTTGACTTTTGCCTTGGGATAACAAAACATTGGTTTTAAAATTTGAGTCTTCATTGTCAGTGTCCTTCCAGCTCAGCTGAATGACATGAAGCAATTGAAATTTGTTGGGCACTGGGTAGCTTTCATTGTGCAGTAAAAGTAAAGTTGCCACAATCCTATCAGACCACAAGGCTGCTGTCTCATGAGAGAGAGAGAGAGAGCGCTAACTGGAGGTTTAGCCTGAGGGTCATTGTACCTCAGGTGAGGGGAGAGGTTGAGAGGGGGAGTCCTTCAGTGTCAGTCTGTGCAGGAATTGAACCCATGCTATTGGTATCAGTCTGCATTACAAACTGGCATCTAGCTAACCCAGCCCCGGTCTAGCTGAGGAAAACAATCCATGAGTGCCATGTGCTAGATACAATTTGGTTATCTGCTATTGTTGTGGGTGTGTTAGGTTTTGATGTAAGTCATCAAACTGTTGGAGCAACTGTTGGTGAGTGTGCATGCTGGCCTGTAGGTGATGTCAGTGAAAATTTAAGTCCATCAGTTCACACAGATAATGCAGGACTGCAATACTTAGCGGCAATTCGAAACAGCATGCATTCAAAATTAGCACTAGATTTCATTAACTCCTATGATATTGGGTACCTTTATCATATAACTGCAGCAGACTCTGTGTTGTCATTTTGCCAATTGAGTGAAATATTCGAGTCTGTTTTAATGTTTCTCCATCTATTTGGTATGCAAACTGAAGTCATAATGAAGTTTTTACAGTAACAACAGGAAAAAGAGACTGGTCAGGGACAGCATTGGCCCCTTTAATGTCTGACTGGCAATGTTACCAATTCAAGTAAAGAAACGTCAGCTATGCTGAATAATGACTTAGCTTCAGTGTTTACAGTAGAGGAAGAGGCTGCTACTTGTCGGCAGCATGTCAGACATCACAAGGAATCTTACTAAATCAGGGACAGAGTCTCTCCAAAATTTAATGTAAGCAAATGGGGAAATAAAGAGCGCAATGTTTGACAAACCCTAGAGTTGGGTAGCTTCCATCTTGGGGAGCAGAGGAGAAGATTTGCAACTACCCTCGTTAAAGCTTCCAAGATTTTCTCCATTTTGGAGCTGTTCTTTTAGATTGGAAAATTACAGGTCATTCCACTTTTTTTATGAAAATGAAGAGGGGAAACCAGCAAATTAAAGACTGGTTAGCTAGCCATCGTTTTGCACTGGGAAATCTGTACCCAGTAAAGAGAACCTGAAGGTTTCAACTGCTCAGAGGGCTAACATAGATTTATAAGGTTGTCTTTCTTCCATGATTTAGTTGAATGTTTTGACAAGGTGACTGACTGAAATATTCATAGGAGAATGTTTATGGATATTTATTTGGACTTTGAGGAAGCTTTTGATCAAGTCTCAAGAATCCGTTAGCTCAAATTGAGAAGTGTGGAATTGAAGGCAGATTATTAACCTGGTCAGAGAATTGGTTGAATGGTAGGAGTCAATAGAGATGATGACTAGGTATTCTAATGTCTAGCTATTCGCATTAGTGCGGTACAAGTGGATTCCAGTTGGTAGGGCACTGGCACCAATGCTAGTGAAAGTGGAACTGCCCGATTGGGATGATCTACACCTGGGCTGCATTGGGGTTGGTGTTCTAACAGGCTGCATAACTAGAAAAATAGAGAGATTTAAACTAGTGGGGAGAAAGGATCAAATTTTAGGTAGGTATGGTAAATCAAAACTTAGATTCAAGGGAAGGAAATTATGGGAAATAATAAATGGTGATAGGTAAGGATGGAGAGTACAATGCTGTCAAGCAATGAGGCAAGAGTTTACGAAAATGAAGACAAACTAAAGGCTCTATCTAAATGCATGTAGCATTTGAAACAAAACTGATGAGTTGATAGTCATGCAAATAGAGCTAAAGTACAATCTGATACTCATTAGGATCTAGATATTTTCTAATCAGCCTTTTGACTAATGATACTAAACACCTCTGCGATAGGTTCAAAGATATGCAGGCTAGGTGGATTGGCCACAGTAAATGTGAGTTTACAAGAATAGGGCAGAGATCTGAGTCTGGGTGGGATGCTTTTCGGAAGTTTGGTGTTTCCTCTTATTAGCAAATCTAGAACTGAGGTCACTGGTTAAAAATCTGGGGTTGAACATTTTAAAACATAAGTGAGGAGAGATTTTCTCTTTGAATCATTGGAAGTAGAAGTTCATTGAATCTTTAAGTCCGAGATAGATAGAGCCTTTGATAAGTAAGGAATGGAGGTGGAGATTGTGAAAGAGTGAAGGTTCGGGCTCGGTGGGAGTGTGGGATAATCTGATCTGCCACGAGCTCATTGAACAGTCTGGGGACAGTGTGGCCTATCCCAGTTCTTCTTTTATGTTTGAGTTGTCACAACGTAATTAATGCTCTCCCACACAAATCTGTGTTAGGTTTAATTCCTGCACCATATTTATTAAAGGCTTACATGAAGGATAGAATGCCACTTACGCAAATTTGCTAATAACACATGGGTGACATGTGTAGCATAGGCAGAAGCATAAAACTTGCTGAGCATTAAGTGAATGGGCAAAACTGTGACAAATTTCAGGTGAGCAAAAGTAAATGCTGTCTAAATACTTAACTTCAGTATTTACAGTAAAGGAACAGTCAGCATCTCATCCCAAAAAATCAGGGACAATGTGTCACTAAAGTAACTGTTGAAGAAAATAATAGCACTCATGGCCATCCACTTTGGACATCTGAGAGCGAGGTACTTTGTAAATGGTGAAAGGTTAATAACTCTGGAAGCCAAAAGAAATCCAGATCTCCAGATGTATAGGTTATTAAAGTTTCATGAGCAGCTATAGAAAATAATCAGGCTGGCCTTTCATCTAGAAAACTATCTGATGGAGGGGGGAGGTGTAGAAATTATGCTTCAGTTTTACAAAGCCTGGTCACCTGGAGCACAGACTGGTTTGGAACTCCACATGGTAAGAATGATGTATTGGCCATGAAGGAAGTGCAGCATAAGTTGACCAGAATATTATTAGGATTCCAAGACCTACTTGACAGACATTGCCCCAAGGAGTTGCAGTCTTGATAAATTTAGATGTTTGAGATGGTTTGGTTGAAGTCTCCCAGGAATTTAGGCTTGGAAGAAACTATTTCTGCTCATTGGCTCGTGAGGGTCATAGTCTAAAATTTAGAGACAGATATTTTAATAGTGAATTTAGAAGTACACCTGCCTGAAACATCTGACAGAAGCTTTGAATTCTCTTCAAATATCATTTGAAACTAGATCAATCCTTAATTTAAAACTTGATCTTTTTGTAAAACAAAGGATGGAATCTGATATCAAGGTAAAGATCTGCAGTGGTCTAATTGAATGGCAGAGCATTCTCAAGGGGCAGAATCACCTATTTTTCCTATGTTCCTATAATGGGAATATGCTTTCTGAGTAGGGCCAGCCTTGTAGTGCATGACATGGGTGACTGCAATCAGGTGTGGATCTCTTCATGTCGCCACATTTTTAGTTATTCATGACCATCCTTTTGATTTTAAGCAATTCACTGAGATGTCAGCGTTCCTTGCCTGACCAACATTTATTGCCCATCCCTAGTTACCCTTGAGAAGGTGGTGGTGAGCTGACTTCTTGAACTGTTGCAATCAATGTGCTGTAGGTTGACCCACAATGAACTTAGGGAGAGAATTCTAGGATTTTGACCCAACAACGGTGAAGAAACGGCGATATATTTCCATGTCAGGATGGTGAGTGATTTGGAAGGGATCTTGAAAGTGGTGGTGTTCCCATGTATCTGTTGCCTTTGTCCTTCAGGATGAAGCAGATGTTAGTGGATGTAATGCTGATCAAGTGGGCTGTTTTGTCCTGGATGGTGTCCGGCTTTGAGTGTTCTTGGAGCTGCACCCATCTAAGCAAGTGGGGAGTATTCCATCACATTAATGACTTGTGCCTTGTGCCTTGTAGATGGTGGACAGGTTTTGGGGAGTCAGGAGGTGAGTTACTTGCCACAGTATTCCTAGCCTGTGACCTGCTCTGGTAGCCACTGTGTTTATGTGGTGAGTCCAGTTGAGTTTCTGATCAATGATAATGCCCCCCGATATTAATAGTGGAGGATTTCTTGATGGTAGTACCACCTTGAATGCCAAGGGGAGGTAGTTAGACTTTGTCTGTCTCTTATTGGAGATGGTCACTGCCTGGTGCAAATGTTACTTGCCACTTGTCTGTGAAGACTAGATATTTTCCAGATCTTGTTGCATTTAGACATAGACTCCTCAGATATTGAAGCAGTCTGAGACATTGGTGAAAATCCCCACTTCCGAATTTATAATGGAGGGAAGGTCATTGATGAAGCAGCTGAAGATGGTTGGGCCTAGGACACTACCCTGAGGAACTCCTGCAGAGATGCCCTGGAGCTGAGATGACTGACCTCCAACAACCACAACCATCTTCCTGTGTGTCAGGTATGACTCCAACTAATGGAAAGTTGGCAGTTTGCTGGTAAAGATGGTAAATATTTTGATTAAAAACTTTGCACAGTACAATGTAACAAATGTTACTAATGCTTGCACCTTCTTTGTTTCTCTGTCTGTGCAGAGACCAGCTGAAAGATGGGCTAAGTACTAGCCTCTGAAAGACACCAACTTAACCTTGACCAGAGGTAGCTAAGTGTCTACATGCGATGGCAGATTTAATCAAATGACACATTTTTGGCAAGAGATAAGCTAGTGAGCAATAGTTTTTGGCTCAGTGGAGCTACAGAGTGTAACTTTAGGCAGTGGTAATTTGTTGGACATAACTGG